AAAAAAAAAAAAAAAAAAAGGGAAGGAATTTTTATTATTGGGAAATCGAAACTTAAACGTGTAAGGGGATGGGGTATAACCTTATAAAGGGGATAATGAAACCTAAGTGAAGTCCGGGAAGATTGTAACCCCATAGTACTTGACCAATTAGGAACCGGGGGAGGGACTTGCATGCTAGGAGATAAATTACCATTGTGACTGCTCTGGGTGTGCCTGCCTACCAGCCAGCTGATCTTGCAAGATCTTTATTAAAAGTCTCACTTCTACTGTTCTTTGTGCCTCCAAATCCATTCTTCGGGTTTGGACAGGTGAGTGTGTTTCTCACATACATAAAATTCATAATACAGACCAAACTAAACTACAGCATTAAGAATGCACCCTTAGGTGGTAAAATGAAAAGAAAAACAAGAAAGTGATTACCGTAAGTATCAGGGTAGTAGTTACTTCTGGATAGAAAGAAAAGGATAGTGATAAGAAGAGGAAGGATTCTGGGATACTGGAAATATTCCATTTCTTGGCCTGTGTGGCAGTTAAATGGATGTTCACTTTGTGATAAATCATTCAGCTGTATATTTATGTTTTGTTTACTTTTCTGAATGTTATATTGCACAAATAAGATTTGAAAAACAAATGTCCAAGGTAGTCAATGCAATGTTAAAGATAATAAGAAAAGACTATAATTATAAAGCTTTAGTAGCTTTATAATCGATCCGTATGGGTGAAGATAGGCAAAGGAATGAATGAAAAAAAAAATTAAAAATCCAGAAAAGACCATGAATCTAAAATATCTTGATATATAATAGAGGTGGCATATAATCTACTGGAGAACAAAGAGAAACACCCTAGGACAGAACCTTGAGAATGCCTATAAGAAGCGATCTTGTAAGCATTTCTCATAAACATCAAGCTGGTTGAAATGGCCAATACGGCCCCGCCCTTCGTCGTTGGGCTGTTTCAGATGCGTTGGCCCTTCCCGGCCTCGAGGGGGCATCTGCAGAACGGCGGGCGCCGGGAAAGTACGCATGCGCAGTGTTCCCAGGGTTTGCGGTAGAATCTAAGCTCTCGCGCCCGGTTACGCACACGGCATTTATAGTGCGCACAGCGCTCACGCACGCGCATTGGGGCGTCCACCGGGCATCGCGCTGTCCCGTTATTCCAGTTTCTTTGGGAGCAGCCGAGTTGACCCCACGGTCTAAGATGTCCAAGCTGCCCGCAGACAGCAGCGTCCCGCAGACAAGCGCGGCGAATGGTGACAGAGACGTCCCGCAGGCGGAGGTAGGCCGCGGGAGGCGGGAGCCGGCCCCGGCACAGCCTGAGGCTGTCTCTTATACACATCTAGATGTGTATAAAGTCTCACTTCTACTGTTCTTTGTGCCTCCAAATCCATTCTTCGGGTTTGGACAGGTGAGTGTGTTTCTCACATACATAAAATTCATAATACA